TAGGTCAAATATGAGATAAAACCTCAATACTTTTATCCCCATGTAAACCTTTACTCAGCCTGCAGGGGGCGCTAATCAGCAAATTTCATTGTTCACACTGTCATGTGACCTAGGCCCAGGAGTTGAACAACCGAGTCAAGTTTAGTGCAAATCAGAATTTGTGAATGTGCTCCTGTTTGTACATACAATCTGTGAGTGTGTCCATACAGTCTCCATTGGATAACATGGGAACTTCACACCTCTCTATGAAAATGACCACACTTTGGGGGTCTGTCACGCTCAGACCGTTTGACTAATTCAAACTCTATATGCAACTATTGATGGTCCATGTGTTGAGACCATGTGGAGCGATTTTCAGACAAATTAGTGAAACGGCCGAGGCTGGTTTGATGTTTGAGCGAGGTGTACTTTTCAGAGATTTAACGATTTTCTCATAGACACAGACAGGGGAGTGTTGGTCGTCGCCACGGCAACAGGGTAAAAAATAATCATATGTTGTCATTGACTTTTTGAATCCAGATGACAAAACAGAATTATGTGCAAAATTTCAAACATTTTGACAAAACTAAATTTTAAAAAGCCCATGTAAAACTTTAACATAGTCTGTAGGGGGCGCTAATGAGCCAATTTCAATATTTCCACTTTCAGATGACCTAGACCCTGGAGTTGAACAATGGATTAAAATTTTGTGCAAATCTGACTATTTTTGTGCAAATGGGAGCAAATTTACTTTTGTCAAAAATTGGAAAAAACATGTCACATTTTGCCGCTCCGCTGCTCGGACAACGTTTAACTGATCCAAATTCTATATTCAATAATAGATGGGACATGGGTTTAGACCATGTGGAGCGATTTTGAGACAAATCGGTGAAGCGGCCGAGGAGGAGATAATTTCCAGCCGACATGTGTGAAAAAGATCAATTTTCATTTTTCCATTTTCCAATTAAATTAATGAGCTTCCTGTTTGTCAGGGGGCGGAGCCATAATAACTTTTTTTTCATGTCTTGACCTGAGGAACATGTGTACCGAGTTTTGTGGCTCTACGACAAACTTTACCTCCGACCTCCTCCCATAGGCGCAATGTAAACTGACTTTTGTAGGGGGCGCTATTCTGACATTTTTTTAGTCCCATAAAAATAAACACCAAAAAAATAAATTTTTCACCGGTTCTGAATTTTGGGCAAAATTTCACAACTTTTCATCAATGTTCAGGGGGTCAAATTAAGGTTCAAAGTGCAGAAGAAAAAAGAAACCAAACCAAGGAATTTTTTTTTTTAAATCTTCGAGCAAAAACAATATAGGTTTCCATAGTAACCTATAATACAAATGATACATCGTTTTAAAGCAAACGACGAGGCGAACGCAACTATTGGGTTCTCGGTGATTGACGAGCGCTGACGCGCTCGTCAATCACCTCGCCATCATGAGGTCACCCACCCCCCCCATAGGACCCCATTCATTACACTGTGTTCTACAGCAGGAGCAAAGCCATTCAGTGCCTCCGGCACTGTTTTGTCAGTGTCTGGGCACGTGCCGTCGCGTGCAGGTCACAATCTCCGGGCTGCGCCCGGAGATTGTGACTTATGACAGTTCAACAAGTAATGCCTGGGCTTCGCCCAGGCATTACTCGTTGGAAAAGCAATAGGCCCTTACCCCGGTTGGGGCTCGGGCCTAAAAACTACCTATTCATCCCTCACCAGCCATTCCCATAAAATAACCCCAACCCAGCCTTAACCCTAAACTTAACCATCTTACTCAGACACCTAAAACTTAACCAGTCACCACTTAAGGACATATTACACTTTTTGACATGCGCAAACTGAACTTCCGGACGAATCCGGTTTCCGGGACGAATACGGGAGTGACACAACCTTTTTTTCTCTTCTTCTTCTTGGTGCAGTTTTTTTGGCAGGTGGCACTCAACTTAAAGGTGCATTTCCGCCACCTACTGTGAACCAGAGCTACACTACCTTACCTACATGTGTGTGTATACGCATGTACTGTATACACATACACACACACACCCAAATATATGTATATACATACACACATACTGTATAATGAAACCCTCCCTATGAGTCCTAAATCCTTTAGAAACGTCATGATCTTTTTCACAAAACATTTTCTAACAACATGCTCTACCGACTCTATCTCATTACAATGTAAACAAAACCCTGTCTCATGTTTATTGATTATGTGTAACGACTTATTCAAACATGTATGCCCAATTCTCAGTCTAGTCATTATCCTCTGCACCTTACTACTTCCTACAGCACACCACCCATCACCCACTGTGCTTTGTAACTCATAGAGATGCCTCCCAGTTGTTTCCGCGTCCCACTCTATCTGCCATTCTGCCTTAATACTATGTTCAATTATTGATTTTGCCTCTTGCTTGCTGACCGCCACTTCCAAAATAAAATCATTAGACGTCAGTGCCTGCTTTGCTAGTCGGTCTGCTTCCTCATTGCCACGTATCCCCTTATGTGCTGGAATCCATAAAAACACAATATTATAGCCTCTTCGATGGAGCCTATACAAGCTTTCATACATTTAATTTCCTATATCCTGTCTACTATCAGACTTAAAAATCTGTATAGCCACTAATGCAGAGCTTGAATCAGAACATATCACTACTTCTTTCACTGGCAATCCTTCAACCCACTCTAAAGCTGATGAAATTGCTAATATTTCTGCAGTGTATATTTCTATACACTGCTAAGTCATTTGTAACTGTCCTTTTAAAAATTAGTTTTAGATCTGGGATAACAAAAGCAAAGGCCGTGCTCCCTGTTTTAGGTTCCTTTGAACCGTCCGTATATATTGCATGTAGTGTATCCCCTATCCACTGTTTCAAGTCTATCTTGTACCAATTGTTCTATACCTCCAACATTACTTTGAAACTTTCTTTTCCCCAGAAAGCCCAGATCCACCAAGACTGCCGGAAACACCCATGGAGGAGTAACAGTCAATGGTGTTGTCCTAGCAAACAGCTTTCTCATTCTCGCTAGAACATTCTAAACTCTGGCTCAAGGTAGTCAGATCGATGTGTGTATATACAACAGCAGCTCATTTGAATATGGATCGGTCCTCTGAGCCTTTCCAAGACCAATAACAAAACTAAACAGCGTTAAGTCGGACAAACAGACTGAGCAGAAGTATACGACTGGGTTCAGGCGTAAAAAAGACACAACAAAAGGGTTTGAAGGTCAATCGACTTAAAGCTGCAGATGACAAAGCTTTCAAACCACATATTTTATACATTATGGCTTCTTTCTACTTGTTTTGAAACTGAATTGTGCGAAGTGTTCAGTCTTGTTGACATGTCTTGCATTTTTTGCATCCTGTTGTTTTTATTCCATGTTCAAATAAACTTCTATCTTACAGTGATTAGCTGCTGAAGCCATGGTTAGCCAGGAAATTCCACAGATTCTGGTTTGTTGTGGGCGAGTTGCTAGGATACGGCACCAGATACTAAAACACAATGTAAATTCAACCAGGTAGAGAAGAGCCGAGTAGAGCCAGGCCAAGTAGGGCTGGTGGAAAAGGGGATTTATTTTCACATTGAAAGTTGAATTATGGAAGTAAATTTTTAACAATAATCTCATTTACAGTTTCACCGGTTACATCCCCATGGCAACAAGTGGTAATCAAACTGGCAATGTACTTTTACCAAACTATTTTCTGTGATAAAATGCCAGCAGTATTTGGAGTTCATCTGCTTATTTGCAAACTAAACAAAATTATGCAACTAATTAAGCAACTAAAACTAATTATGTACCAATACCAGGCTGCAGTGACCAAACAGCCAAATAAAAATAAATTATATATTTAACTGTGGAGAAATCACTGCTAACTTTCAATAACACACAACAGGACAACAGAGTGGCATAAAAAACACTTTAATTTGAGGTATTTCTTACAGGCTGGTTTCTCCGGTAAAAATCTTGCAACATAAAACACTGTTCTAGAAATGGTTTAGCAAATTCTGTAGTGAACAAAATACAAAACCTTTTTTTTAATTATTATTATATTTTTCTTATGTTTTGATCGTTGTCCTATGAAAAAATACTGATATGTGAGAGACGGCTTATCGGCACGGGATTTAAACACATATAAAAAGAGGCACAGTTGACCCTCTATAATATCAAACCCAGAGAATCCACAGCACACCCCGGACCAATCGCACATATCTCAGCTCCACCAAAATACATTAAAATACAATATTTAAGTAGTAAAGGCCAAAAAATAGTGTAATACTCGCTGGTCTGTGTTTTTAAAAAAAAATCACAGAAGCAGCAAGAAATACGGCACTATCCTCAGGAGTGACCGGTCTGTCTCGGACTGACCGGACACTAGAATACTTTAAAACACTAAAAACAAGAAAATAGTCGTCCGCTTTTCTCTTATCTCCCAAAATGTGTTTTTTCTTTGCTTCCCATACTGTAAAATGTCGTAACCAGCAGAATCCAATCCGAGGTGAGAGGCCAGTGACAGGTTTGAATCTTGGGCTCTCTCCAGTTTTAGGTGAGAATTGACAAAGATATTTTGATCTGAATGAGTCTAAATAACGATACATAAAATAAAAAATGCCTCGTTTTGTTTCACATTTCTCGAGTTTTTGGTCCCAAGCATAAAAAGTGAAGTCAAACAAGTCCAGGTCAAGTCTAAGTGCTCTGATTGGGTGCGTTTACAATAGAGTCCAAAGTGATTCAAATACTGCTTTAAGTGAAGCAATTAGGGCAAAACTGCATAAAATAAACTTTATAGAGATTTGAAATCAGCAAAAATGACTTAAGTTACTACTAGAAGAGTATAGACTTGTTTGGTGGTTCACTTTGGGTCTGAATGTGAATGCGCCCTTTAGTTTCAAGTTTTAGTTTCATTTTTGGTGGTTTATGATAATTAGGTTCTGTAAAAAAAAAAAAAAAAAAAAAATCCTAGTCACAATTCAGAAGTGTGTAAATAAGAAATCCTTTAAAAATAACTAATGACATTTGTTATGGGGAAACTTCATGTCGGCTCAAGTCACAGGTCTGGTCCAGGGTCTGGTCCAGGGTCTGGTCCAGGGTCTGGTCCAGGGTCGGGTTCAGGGTCTGGTCCAGGGTCGGGTTCAGGGTCTGGTCCAGGGTCTGGTCCAGGGTCTGGTTCAGGGTCTGGTCCAGGCTCCGGTCCAGGCTCCGGTCCAACCTCCATTGGCATAAGCCTCACCGGTAACATTATGTAGAGGAGAATAGTTGGACTAATGGGGAGTGGCCTCAGCTGTCTATCTAGGATTTAAATTCAAAACGTCCAATCAGGAAACTGTGGGGGCGGGTCTAACTAGTGCTTGCGTTCCAAAAATCTTTCTGACATTGAATGTACAAATTGCTTCTTTTATGCTAAAGTTGGGGATTTTATTTTACTTAAGTATCGAGTCATTGTTCACGCTCCTCATTCCTTCTGTTCTGTAACTGGTGATGCAACACTGACATTTCCCCGCTGTGGAACTCTTAATCTTGAAAGACTTTTTAAAAAGTGCAGTAAGGTGTGAGCAGAGAGGCACATCTGAAGTCAGTGGATGTTGCGATGAGAGCGCTGTGTACTGACGGGAATCTTCTGGGACAGTGTATAAAAAAGAAAGTCCTGTTTTTCTGTAAAATCAAACCAGTGGGAAAGAAAGTCCGATCTAAAAACGGTGGTGGATGGCGGAGAGCGCAGGCACGTTAGAAGTCGGCTCCTGTGGCGATAAACCAGGACCGAGGAGAGAGAGCAGTACGAGACCGACACTGACGTTAATGAACCAGGACAAACACACGCACACACACTGAAGAAAATAATAAAATATGAGGTAATAATCGCTGGAATTGAGCTTTGTTCTCATTCCAAAGGAGACATTGGCAATTTTTGTTTTAAGGCAGTAAAAATGTGCTCAAATTAAGATACATTTTGCTAAATTTGAAAAATATTTGACTTATTTTTCATCACCTTTTGCAGTGCACACACACACACACACTGGAAAAAATGATCGCTTGAATGTAGTGTTTTTTGATTACATTCGTACATTTTTACTGTCTTTTAGTCTTTTTTCAAAAACTGCTGCTTATTATTTTCTCATTCAAGGGAGATATTTCTTGTATATTTTTAAAACGAGATAATTTTTCTTTGTCCTATTGGCAAATCTTATTTTAAGACAGTAAAAATATACAGAAATAAGATACATTTTGCCAAATTTGAAAATGTCGTGACTTAATAATCGTTTCATTGGCAAATCTTGTTTTAAGGCAGTCAACATCTGCTAATATTAATATAAGTTTTGATAAATTTGAGTGATTTTTGACTTACTTTCATCACTTTTTTCAGTGCACACACACACTAACACAAACACACAGAAGCTAAAACTCGGTGTGAACGTGCTCGCCCCTGAACGCCGCACTGTCGCTGGGCTTCATGTAGACCCCCTCCATGGTCTTCCAGAGGCTGTGCGGGCTGGGGCTGGCCATGGCGTGCACCTCGCTCTGGCCGTGGATGGGGCGTCCGTACTGCTCCCCGGTCACAGAGAGCAGGGCGTCTGTGGCTCGGTGCCTGAAGCGCACGGCCTCGTCTCTGCCCCAGACGCTGCCGCCGCACTGCACGCTCCACTCGTCCAGGTGGTCGCCCTCGCCCTCCTCGCCGAACGCACTCACCTCCTGCAGAGCGGAGAAATGTGCTGTCAGCTAGATTCACAACTAGCCTGATAAAGAGAGATAGAGATTGAGAGATAGCGAGATACAGATAAGGTAGAGATCGAGAGATAGATACTTTGTTGATCCCCGTAGGAGAAATTCAGGTGTCCAGTAGCAGCAAAAATACAAAAATTAAATTGACCATTCTTAAAAGCAAACCATAGTAATAATCAGCAACAGCCCTTCAGGTCACAGCAGCAGAGGTGGAGTAGCCTCTGGGTGGAGCAGGACAGGGCACAGCAGCCTTACCACACCATAGTACTCATTTCATTTTGTACTAAGGTCTGGAGGTGCTCCATTGAGCTTCGTTAACAGGTGGGAGGGGTTAACTCCTTTTGCAGATTGAAACAAATGGATCTGAGTTTGTATGTAATGCGCCTGAGTGAGTGAGGCAATTAGCCTTTAGCCTAGCTTTAGCCATCTTCTTTGCCACTAACGGAGCCCGTGGGGAGTAGAGCCACAACATATTTGCCAGCAATGAAACTTGCTAAACATTCCTCTTGCTCTGGCTTCAACTTCTAGATAGTTTGAGCTGAACCAGAACGGATTACTTTACATTGCCAAACTACAACTAGCAAATTTGGCGCAAACTCTCGATGTCGCTAACACCTACGTTTGTGTCGCTAGTTAAATCGCTAGCCACTGCTCTATAAATGTTTCACTTTATTTTTGTTTTTTTCAGTCCGCTACACAGCTTCACGCGCTCATTCAAACACACAGTTTTCTGCACATTTCGGCCTCAAAAGATGATTTACATTTTGATGCTATCAATTCACAAAACACTTCTATAACTAATCCTCAATTTTCTTCAACGTTCTGGGCATTTTCATTAGGTTCATCACAGACGCCTCAACATCATTCAATTCGCAGATCCACTTCTGAATATAATCCAACTTGCAACATCAGTCTGCCCAGGGACTGCAGGTGGAAATTAGCACAAGTGCTACAACCTGGTACAATGCATCTCTCCTTTCTGAGGTTAATGTATATTGTACACTGTCCCTGTTCAAATAAATAAATGAAATGAAATGAAATGCAACAGCCGCTGTGAACCGGAGCCTCAACGAATGGAACTTGGGACAAATCATACTGATACTTTATCGATAAAATACTCGAGTATCGTCTGTCTGTGGTCATTCCATAGTCACATACAAAACACACCAGAACTCCCAGAGCACTCAATTTGACAGGTTGTACTTTTGGAAGTGTTATTACTCAGCTCAAGTATATATATATTTTGGTTTCTGTATCTTGTCTGTACTTTATTTCTACTTCATTATTATTAGAAAATCTTCTTTTATATTTGAACTGTGAGTAGTTCTAAACATAGCCATAATCGGTTGCTTGGTAACCGAAAATGGGTACCTGTGATTTCAAGGTGCTGGTCCTGGACTGGTACTTTACTGGTTTTGGACTGGTCTTTGACTGGTGCTGTACTGGTTTTGGACTTGTCTTTGACTGGTCTTGGACTGGTTCTGATTCTGAGCCGAGTCAACATTTTTTTCCATCAAAGAAGTGCATAGTTACCATAGAAACACACTGTTTAGTTGCCATCAGTTAGGTTTTGATCACGTTTCAACTATGTTTGCTGTTATATTCATCTGTTTTAGCACTTAGTAAAAGTGAGTCAAGATAAAACATCAAATAAATCACTTACTTTTAATAAATCTGGTGGAAAACTAAACATTTTGGGGGAAATTTATCAGAATTCCATTGGTTTAAATGAGAGTGGTCAATATTCAGTTAAATAGATCATAAATATAGGAGTCCTAGTGTTAAGAAAAAGGTGTTATGTACCTCTGTCTTCCTGTTATTGTTGTTCAAACCAGTTTAATATGTTTTTGTATCTTGATTATCTTTGCTCTGATCACTGCTTCACACACTCTTGGCATTCTCTTGATGAGCTTCAAAAGGACCTGAAATGGTCTGAGTTCCCACAGATGCTTAGCACTTGTTCACTCTGTGGTCCAGCCCCAAAACCATCTGGATTGGGTTCAGGTCCAAAACCATCTGGATTGGGTTCAGGTCCAAAACCATCTGGACTGGGTTCAGGTCCGGTGACTGTGGAGGCCGGGTCATCTGGCCCAGCACCATCACTCTCCTTATTGGTCAAACAGCCCTTACACAGCCTGGGTGTGGATCTACAGTCAATAATCATGAAAAGAAAGGACACTCATTGAGAAAGTGTGTCCAAACTTTTGGTCTATACTGTACATGTTAGAAAACCCTGTGTAATTCCGCCCGTTTCCTGAAAAAAACCTGAAAATGAAACGCAGGTGAATCATGTTTTGACTTCTGCCTCCGTCTCATTTCTGCGACACAGTCCCTCCTCACATTAACTACTGTATGTATTTATTTATTTATTTAATACTGGGATAGTGCATATTAATGAACATTTCTGTAAATATGCCAGAATTAGTAAAGTGGCTATTTTTCATCCGTAGTCCCGTGTCTCCTTTAAACTTCAAACCTTCATGTTTTCTATTGTATAAATTATTCATGCAGAGTAAATGTAATGAACGTAGAGCATCTGTGATGAGACGTCCTCCTCTGTGTCAAAGACGAGGGTCACGCTCTGAGAAAAGCTGCTCAGAGAGACACGAAAGAGACACTCTCCGGCGAAAAGCAGGTGCAGAATATTAATGACTCTTTAAGGACGTGAATTTATGTCTCAAGTGTGTATTGAAACTAACTCTTCATATATTATAGCGGTTTAAATTTTACATTAAAGTGATAGTTTGGAACTCCAAATTAATTAAAAATTTCAAGAATTGTATTAAATTGACCTCCTGGCCTTAAATGTTGATATAAACTAAGTAATTTTATGAATTCTAATATTACGGGTAAGTCATTTATATACTGAGCCTATATCCATAATCATTTATATACTGAGCCTATATCCATAATCATTTATATACTGAGCCTATATCCATAATCATTTATATACTGAACCTATATCCATAATCATTTATATACTGAACCTATATCCATAATCATTTATATACTGAACCTATATCCATAATCATGTATATACTGAACCTATATCCATAATCATGTATATACTGAACCTATATCCATAATCATGTATATACTGAACCTATATCCATAATCAGATCCTCTGCAGATGTGTCCTATAATGTTCAATTCATGATAATAGCTACTTATGGGTTTACTGCGATCGCTTTTTTTCTGCGTTAAAACATTATTTTTCTCATGAAAACGGTAACAGATAATTCTGAAAACCTCCGTGCATGTGTATTAATGTTTCTGTATAATGTGTTCTCTGATTAACATTTAAGATTGATTGTTACAGAAACGTAGGCATAGACCAATCAGAAAGGAAGGGGGAGGAGCTTGGGTCGTTTTTGTACCTCTCTCTCTTTTTTCTGACAAACTCCAGACAATCACTTTAAAAGAATCAAAAGCAACAGTCAGTGAGAGGACCCCGTTGCAATATGCTGCACAAAATGAGAAAATATGAGGTAGTAACTGCTTGAATTGAGTGGTTTTTATCTTAATACAAGTACATTTTGAGCTATTTAGTCTTATTTCAACTGCTTAATTTTCTCATTCCAAGGGAAACATTTCTTGTACATTTTTGAACAAGATCATTTTGTTTGTCCCATTGGAAAATTCTGTTTCAAAACAAAATGTGCTCAAATGATAAATATTGATATCGTTGAAGCATTTTCAGCTAGCTAAGAGACGTGGCTGTATAATTGATGGAGGTATGAGTTAATAAGTTATAGTTGACTATTACCACAGTTAGAGATGGGAAACAAAATTAACATGCCATTTTCTTTAGTTAAAGCAAAAGTTTGTTGACATTTTGTTGAGTTTTAGCACTTCCTGCTTTTTCGCCTGCAGACAAAAACGTGTGATTTCCCTTGAAACTTCCAGGGAATCTTTGTGTCCTTGCTGAATCTGCACTAAACGTGTCTGAAGGATTATTTCCGACACAGACGCAGATCAAGGTCTGTGGAGCTCGTCATTCATGCCGTTTGTACAAAAACTGGTGTAAATCTGTCGAATACTACATTAGTGTTGTGATAAAATGTGATTATGATACATTTTATTAGTCGGCTAAGTTCTGCAGCCCGGTGTATAGGAGACATCCGCGACAATTTGTCTTTAGAATTCGGACTTTTATTCCACAAAGATCTGTGCGGTCTCTTAGTTCCAGATGTTGTTCATGCATTATTTATGTTTTGGAAATCAAACATGTTTTTATCAAACCACACTTATTTTTTTGACCCATTTAACTCATGCAGGCTGAAGATACTTAGGATAATATTACTTGTTATTAATATAAGTGGAAAGATCATGATCCACTGCCAGATAATTTTGCTTGAAAGCTATTCTTTTTTCAAGCCGCTTTTTGCAGTGAATTCATGGATTTTGCATGTTCTTCTTGTGTCTGTGTAGGTTTCCTTCGGGCGCTCTAGATTCTGAATTCTCAATGGGACATTCCTAGTTACATAACGGTCAAAACGAATTAAGTCATATTTATATACTTAGCCATATTGAACATTCTCCAGCTAAACATCTTAATTTTCCAAGTAAAACAGCAGAAATACTTCCACAATTGCAAAGAATATCCACAGAGGATATATGTTGAGGCCCAAAATCTATTGTTTTATGAGAAGAGAGTCTGAAATCTCAGCTGGACTGGATCAATAAACAATTGCATCAAGACTTCTTTCCACTGCTGCTCTAAAATCAGAGTTAAAACCAATGCTAAAAACAGCAGAATAGACAAATTGAGTCATATTTAGCCATATTGAACATTCTACGGCTAAAACGTCCTCATTTTTCAAATAAAGTAGCATAAATCATACCATTATCACAAATAATATTACATACAATATTTGTTAATGGCCGAAAATGTATTGTTTTGTCCATCCGATTTTAAACAGTCGATATAGTAATTATAGTCACATAGGTGTGCATATGTACAAATATGTATGTAAATGGCAATGTGTATGTGTGTGTGTTTATAAGTACACCAGATGTGACTTATATATGATTTATAGTTTGCATTGGAAAAAAAAGAAGAAGAAATAAAGAAAACAAAAGTATAGTGACAAGCCTCTGCATCGGTCTGTCTAACCCTCACCTGATTGGAGGAGAGGGGAGAGGCGAAGTAGTGGCTGTGGAGGTTGCGTCCGGTGTTGACGTGAGTGAGTCGTATGATCTGTCCGCATCTGACCGGAGTCCCGCGATGGCACAACGACTCCTTCGGCCCGCGCACCGTCCAATAACTGTTACTGTCCTCAATGGCAGTGACCCCAGTGACAGACTGCTGACCGCTACCTGCAAACAACACACAAACACACATTCATTACACTCCCATTATAGATAGAGGGCAAGAAACAGTTTCCCCCCATTAATTTTCACATAAATACAGTCATTTTGATTAATGTGTACTGCACCTATTCAATTAAAGTAATAACATAACAAAAAATGTATACATTAAACAGTTCCCCTATAACGAGATGTCATTTTTGCACCATCTCCAATTCAAACTAACTTGGGAAAAATATATAATTTAATAGAATAAAAAAAAGCTAAAAATACATTATACTACATGGTTTGAAAAGTTCTTGGATGAAGCAAAAAGCCAATATGAATGCAATCCCTTTCCAGCCATTTTGACACACTATAATACAAAAACTACAAGCAAAGCCCTTCAGTATTCACACACAGACACACACACAATCATCGTTCATCTATTTTGTTTGTACTATGATCAGGATTATATAGTAGATCCATGTACTATGAACCAAATATTTGTTCATATCTGGGAGATAGAGATGTCTATGAATATAACTAGACTGACTGACATCTGTTGACTCTTCACTGGTTTGTTTGGAGAACTTTGACCCTGATGTTGGCCCCTTTTAGGCACAATACGACCCTAATCCTATACGATCCAAATCATTGACATTGAATATATGTAATTCTTATGTGTTACAATTTTCATTCATCTCTCATCTCATTCATAGATTACTACTAGTCTATTCACTGCTTTTACATGATTTGCTCATTGAATTGGTAAAATGCAACGTTATGGATCAGCCAAAAAACAAAAACCCAACGCGTCAAAAAAATGAGAGTATATTTTGTTTACGTGGTGCAAACTCACCGGAGCCATAGCGTACGTCGTGGGAATGAAGCCTCACATTATGTTTTATGTTTAACAGCTTAATAACAGAGCCACATGTGACAAAACTCAGCTCCGAGCCCAGACAGGGACCCAGCAGAAACCAAAGGATAAATAGAAGGCTTGACAGAGAGGTTTGAAGAATATTACAGCTTGAAATATCCATTTCGTTGCCCCACTAGACCGCTACGTCATTGGAAAGACAGTGCTTTGGCTGTGGGTGAGAACACAGCGCCACCTATGCAACTGGAGTATGTACTGCAGGCTATAATACGTTTATTTTTGCATTTACCAAAACATAAACATGTATATATTTATTTCCTGATACGGGATTTCTTATTTGTGATTTGTGTGAGTCTGTGAATTGGATGGATTTGTCTGTAAATAGACATATGATATTTCTGCATCTAATTTCAAAATTTCAAACAGAACAACTTTCCTTTTCATATTCAAGGAGCTTTATGGTAAAAAAAATAAAATGTATTAAGACATTTATATGAAATAAAGCAAAAATATTTTGTTTGACTCAACCTGGAGCTGCTTTGTCTCATAAACTGCAAATTTGAAGTACAAAGATGGAAAGGGAAGGATAAAAAAGGAGGGAATTTATTTTGAATTTGGATGTGATCATTGATAGAGGTTGTATTGTGAACAGACTCTTGGAATCTCGCTCAAGATAAATACATACCGATTTTAATTATTTTATAGTATTAATGCAACGTGTCCGTTTAATCAAATAAGTATCCAGCAGTTTATATTGACTTTATATTGAAAATCTCAGGACTGGAAATTCTCAACTATCCCGGAAGTGGCCTCGCGGTGGGCATCGCGGCCATTTTTACGAAAAGCTCCTCGAAATCTTACAAAACACAACACAGGGGCGCATTATTGTTGTACATATTAACTGGATTATCGGGCATACTAGCACCTGTAAGTCCAATGCATCTGTGGTCGACAATGGCTCTTAGAGGGACTCGAGAAGATCCTGCTGCGAATTAAATATTGTTGTTTTTGCGGTTGTTGTCATTTCTGGTTATGCTAGTTCGGCTAACGAGACGAGAAATCCATCGAGCGAAGGCCCAGTGTCTCAATATCAACAGTTTGATTAAATTGGACGTTTTTCCAATGTTAACGACTCATAGTTCTTGTTACACACGTTTTAACACCATAGCCACATGGGCTGCTAGTGTTGCTAGCTTATTGCTAAGACAACGGGCTAGCTAACATGTTACCGAACAAAGCTATAACCCCTGACTTTGTGCTGTGTTTTAAACGTTGGATAACCGTTAATTTGACAAATGGTTGCTTGGGAAACGGGTTGACGTATTCTCTGTGAATCTTAGTGAACATTATTACATGTGTTAACTGATCAGATGCTTTTATCTTGCTAATGATGCTAATAGACTCATCACAAACTAGTGTTAATGGCATAATCTCATTGTTGAAGTCGTAGCTGAGCACTAATATCTTTCACTGCAAAAATGGATGATGAGTAAGTCAAAAATGTCTTAAATTCATCTTGAATTTGTGACATTTTATCGGTCTATTGGTATGATTTGCTCATGGGACATGCCAAACGTTCTGGTTTATTAACAGACAAAAAAATACTTGTATGTTTAATAAATGTATAATATATTCACATTAACATTGTTAACATTGTCTTCTATAGAAACATGTCTGATTTTATTGAGAGCGAGGCTGAGGAGTCGGAGGAAGAGTTGGAAGAAAAAGATTTAAAGCCAAAGAAAACCCAACGATTTGCTGAAGATGGTAAGAATGTAGTTTCATAAGCATTTCATCACCAGCAGAGACGGTGGTACACATGTCTTGTTTGAACAGATGACGAAGAGGAAGAAGAGAATACAGAGGACCAGGATGAGCAGGGGAATCTTCGAGGACTCATTGATGATGGAGATGAAGAAGAAGAGGAGGAAGCTCAGCAAAGTAGGAGCGGAGGAGGCAGCGACTCGGAGGATGAGGTTATGCGCCGGCGGAAAAAGAGAGGCAAGTCATGGTGTCAATTTTTCAAACTCTGATAATCGCTTGTTTATATCTGTTTTGTTATTGTACTGGTTAATTCAAAATACTATTGTTTGTGAGCTAGTGTTTTGACATGAAAGTGATTTGAAAGTGATAAATAGGAAAACCAGTATGTTATATATCCAACAATATCCACCAACAATACAATTTATTTATATCTCTAAATGACAACAGAGGGCTTTACAAAGTTGTCTATTCACCAACAACATCAGAGATTCAACCAGTATGTGCCATCGGCCCCTCCGACCACCACCAACCATTCACACACACACCACACTCATTCTAGGCAATGGGGGTGAAGTGTCTTGCCTAAGGTCATAACGGCAGTTTGGCACTTTACAGCCGCAGCCGCCCCACTGTGGCTGTGTTCCCAGAGGTTAAGTGTCGTGCCAAGGACACAACGACAGCAGACATCAGTGGGAGTTGATTGTGAAAGTCTTGAGGTGGGCTCGAACCCATGACCTTCTGACTCAAAGGCCAATGCTCTACCAACTTAGCTACTGTCGCCCACATCGCACTAATCAGCAAAATATTACTGCTGGGAAAGATAACGCATAGACTAAGACTGAAAGAGACTTAATTCAAGAAGAAATGGGGAAAATGGTCACTATACTTTGAGAAGAAATGTCTTGATTCACCCAGACTAAACACCTTTCGCGTTATTTATTTTTTCTTGTTCTCTAAAAATCAAAAGTGATTTATTTTGATCTGACCTCTTTTTGCAGCCTACGATGATTATCTGGATGATGACGATCTCGACCTTATCGAGGAAAACTTGGGAGTTAAAGTCAAACGAAGGGTGAGTATTCAGTGTTTTAGGTTTTAAAAGTAACTTACAAAAAGCAGGGTATTGATTGTGCGTTTGTTTTGTGTCACAGAAAAAGAAATACGATCGTGTGAAGATGATGGACGATGACGAGGATGACGAGAAAGACATGATCGCAGACGAGATCTTCCACGGAGATGCAGACGGCGAGGGCGATCTGGAGGAAGGAGACGCTTTGGAGGAGCCGCTGCAACAGCCTGACGATGAGGAGGGACCAGAGGATGAAGAGTCCGGTGAGTCTTCTGCTGCTTCTGAACAAACACAGATGAAAACAAGACTTTTAGCTTTTACTTTTTAAACTGTAAGTGTAAAAATACTGATGATAAACTTTGAGTTGCTTTGTTTTTTTTTAGATATTGATGACTTCATTGTGGACGATGATGGCCAGCCAATCACAAAGAAGAGAGGGAAGAAAATCTCTGGATACACGGACGCGTAAGTAGTAGTAGTAGTAGTAGAAGCAGTAGTAACAGTAGCGGTCATTTATAGTCCCAACCGTATGTTCTATTCGCACGCCATGCATAATTTTGTCATCTCAAATAGTCAGTTATGTGATATTTCAAATCGCTAAACAAAAGCTAATTTAAAGTAATGATCAATAGAGACTAAAATGTACCATTGTTAGAATGTTAGAAAAGTCATCTTACGCACTGTTTCCACCAACCCTACTTGGCCTTAGTCTACTCTACTCGGCTCTACTCTACCTGGTTGTTTTTCCATTATGCTTTAGTATCTGGTACTGTATCCTAGCAACCTACCCACAACAAACCAGTATCTGGGGAAATTCCTTTAGTACTGTCCTTTAATCACTGTCAATTAGAACACTAGTACCAGCTCAGCCTGGTAAGAACCAAGGCCAAGCAGGTGCTAAAAAAATGAACCTGGGTCTGCTGGAAACAAGTCTTTATTCAAGAAGGATAAAACCACAAAATGAACCATGTCACACATTATGGCAGTATTGCTAATTTGAGGTCTAACACTTTCACCTCTTTCCACAGGGCTCTGCAGGAGGCCCAGGAGATTTTCGGCGGAGATTTCGACTTTGCCGATTTCGACGTCGACACCTACGATCAGGATCAGGAGGAGGAGGAGGACCAGGACGAGGAGGGCTGGGACCGTCCCAAGAAACAGACCAAGAGGAGACTGGGACGAAAGAGCATCTTCGAAATCTACGAGCCGAGTGAGCTGGAGAGCAGCCACATGACCGACCAGGACAACGAGATCCGGACCACAGACATGCCTGAGAGATTCCAGGTAGAAGCAGCTTCAATTATTCCAAAAACAATATCTCTAGCTTTCGCACAATAAAGAAGCAAGTATAACATCTTTAGCTTTAGCATAATGAAGAAACAAGAATCAAGTATACATTCTCTGACGTTCGCATAATAAGTATAAAGATGTGTTCTTACTAGTACCTAAGTTTTAATGTATCTATTCTTTCAAGTTGAGGGCGATCCCTGTCAAACCCGCTGAAGACGACGAGTTAGAAGAAGAAGCCGAGTGGATCTTCAGACACGGCTTTTCCACTCTCACCATCTCTATGCAGGTGCTGCCTTTGACACTTATGAACTAACGGTAACATATGTGTTCCTCTAAGCACCTTAGATGAATGTATGTACCTTTCGCCTTCTTCTAGGAGAGCACCGACTATCTCGACCGAGGGACAACCACAAACTTCAGTAGGAAAGGCCCCAGTACAATCGCCAAGATCAAAGAGGCGCTCAACTTCATGAGGAATCAACAGTTTGAGGTAAAACATGTTTGAGAAGAGGTTGTGTTTTCAGGAGGTACTGATAGAACATTCACGAGACTATAAGTAGAGATCAACGAATGATAGGGATAGAGTAGGCATGTCCAAACTAAGGCCTAAGGGCCAAATGTGGCCCGCTTTGTCATGTTAACCCAAACTAGCAATTGAGGCACTTTCATGGTGTCATCAAGCCAACTTCACCTCCACCATTATAGTCATGCTGTACCTCCTGAACTTTTGGAATTCAGCCCATAACTTTATTTCTACAATCTGACATTTGTTTATGATTGTCTAACAAAATGGCAATGTGAATGTGAATCAATATGGCTCAAAACCAATTATATAGTATCCCTGTTGTCGGCCCCTGGTGAACTAAAGTGGCCCTCTTCCTAAAAAGTTTAGACACCCCTAGGTTAGAGGATAGGGACGTTTTTAAATATCTGCCTCTATTTCTTTTTCAAAAGAACAACCAATTATTTATTTTACTCTAAAATGCTCTTTGTTACAATTCATATAAAACAAATCTGTTAATCAGTCTACAGTACTGAGCCAGATTTCGCTTTGGTCCAGCTCTGTTTCAATGCGAACATAACTGAACTAATTTTGTTCAGAAAACTACAAGAAAATAATGTCCAACTGCAAATTCAATACAAGGTCGTTTATTCAAATTACCTCGTCAAAAAGTTAATGTGCAAAAATAACCAGAGATGAACTATAAATAAACTTTGGGTCTTGACATGGAATTGATATAATAGTAATAACCTTTTCCTATTACTAAATTGTGGAAAAAACAACTATAAAAAGGGCCATTTTAATTGGTGATCAACCTGTCAAACATTTAAAAAAATCAGCCTTTGCATCAGCCACAAAATACCCACATCGGTCGATTTCTAAATTGTTTTGCCAAATAGTATCCACATGAACATGATCGATCCAGAGACACAGTGATAGTGTTTTTTATGTTCTGCTATATATTAACCTGAAGCCCCTCTCTTTTTTCTTAGGTCCCCTTCATAGCATTTTACAGAAAAGAATACGTGGAGCCCGAGCTGAACATCAATGACCTGTGGAAAGTTTGGCAGTGGGACGAAAAGGTTACATTTTTAACTCACACTTTCCTCACAAAGTAATCCACAAAACTCTATCTGAAGCTAATGTGTGTGTGTGTGTGTGTTTGTGTCTGCGTCCCACAGTGGACTCAGCTGAAGAGCCGGAAGCAGAACTTGACCCGTCTGTTCCGGAAGATGCAGTCGTTTCAGTACGAGCAGATCTCCGCGGACCCCGACAAACCTCTGGCCGACGGCATCCGACCCCTGGACACGGCTGACATGGAGAGGTAACTTTCACATGGGCGGATCTAGTGTGACATTGATTATTTTATCATGTGAGATAACATGAACAATCTCTAATGACTGTTTAAGGAGGTCTGGGAATACACTAGAATTGTTGGTGCCCTGTGCTTATATATGAATACAACCTAGTAGTTTAGTATTGCGATAACGATATTATTGCAATATTTTTGTCTTTCACCTAAAACAACAAATAACAAAAAATCAGCACAACATTAATGACATTCAAATGGATATATTTATAAACTTTTTTGTAGGGCTGGGCGATTAATCGATTTTAATCATTAATTCGAGTTTTACGTTTAGGGCGATTTCTTTTTTGAAAAATTCGATTTTTATTTTCTCCAGCGCAGAACTACAGCGCTAATGCGCTAACCGCGGGTCTATGGTGTTGAGCAGTCATTTTGAAGCTAACCTAATGCTAACAGTCTCCCTCTGGCCTGAGGCTCGCTCTCACAGTTGGTGCTGTTGCAATAACACTTCAAACGTTCAAGAATCAGACTTTATTTAAATCGCCAGAACACACACACGCACGCAAGCCCCGGTCGCTATGTTTGTACGCCATGTTCGTACGCCACATCTTTCACGCTCTCTCACGCTCGTTATTCCAAAGCGCACTCCCGTGTCCGTGGCGCGCACACACTCGTGTCCCACTGAGCCGCTGCACTTTGGGGAAAGACACGTCTCACACATTGCTCTCATTGCTCTGATACAAACAACGTGTTCCCCGCTGTCTGTTAGCTACAGTAGCTGCTACAGTAGCTGTTAGCTACAGTAGCTGTTAGCTACAGTAGCTGCTACAGTAGCTGTTAGCTACAGTAGCTGCTACAGTAGCTGTTAGCTACAGTAGCTGTTAGCTACAGTAGCTGTTAGCTACAGTAGCTGCTACAGTAGGTGTTAGCTACAGTAGCTGCTACAGTAGCTGTTAGCTACAGCATCAGAATGTAAACAGGAAGCTCGCACAATGCGGGAGTCACTGAAGTTAGTATTAGCGCCACCAGCTGGACCGAGCGTTGTACTACAGCACAGTTACTCAGGCACAGTTGAAAGAACAAGCATGAAAACCCGAGGAGGCTTTTGGAAAAGACTGTCTGTTACAACATTTCTATTTTGAGTAATCAGTTTTAAAAATGTGATATTTCATGTAAATAATGCATGTGTTTAATAGGATTGATATATTTGCGATGGGCCTTGTTTGTGTGATTTAAGTTATTTTGAAGGTGCATAGTGTCATTAAGTGAAGTTATTATAAAACTGTTAAGCTACATTTTCACTGTTTACAATGGCAGAGCCATCTCGTTTACAAGCATGTTTTAAGGCTTAATTCCTGTTACACTTATGCTCCATGGGGATTTAGATTAAACTGCATAAAGGAAAATCTATTTCTTTGTCAGTTGTAGTTTGTTTTTAAATAGAAAAAAATAAATCGATTAAAATCGAAAATCGGATTTGGTGTGAAAAAATCGGAGATTTTTTTTTGCCATATCGCCCAGCCCTACTTTTTTGTTTGTTTGTTTGTTCTTGTTGAATGTTGAGGTGTCTGTCTGTTTTGTTGTCTTTGATTAAAATTATTGTGCATCTTTTTGTTATGGATATCGCACATACCAATACCACGATAACAATATTTTCTGGCTATATTGTGCAGCCCAACAACCTAGTCTTTTTGCCCACTGGGTTTTTGTAATCCAGGACATTTAAAGATATTTATAGACATTGTTTAACACACTCCCTATGGATTTCCCGTTTTATTATATGATCTTTTTTTGATGAAGAGACAACTGTAAAGTCCTCAGAGATGGCAGCTGTTGTGATTTAGGGCAAAAACAAAATTCAAATTGAAATGGAACTCTCATACCAAATATAGTTTTAATCTAGACAATATATGGGTCAGGGGAAGGTATTGAAATTGGGGGAAAGATTTGTTCTACTGTGCTCTCTGCTCATTCCAATATCTCAAATATCCTCCATCTTTTCAGGTTAAAGGACGTCCAAACTCTGGAAGAGCTGAGCGACGTGTACAACCACTTCCTGCTTTATTACGGCCGTGACATTCCCAAAATGCAGAACGCCGCCAAATCCAACAGCAAGAAGAAAATCAAAAAGATCAAAGAAGTCAACGAGGACGGTAGGTGTTCCAGAATGTATGCATGTGATCTGTACTAGTGATTTTACTAGTATGAATGTCCCCACACACAGTCCGCAATGCTTTCAATTTGGTTTCATTTATATCAATGGTGTAAAGTGTGTCCATTGCGCCTGTAGGTGAGGAGGAGGAGGTGGAGGTGGAAGAGGAAGAGGAGCAGAAAGGCCCAGACCTGAAGCTGGCCTCGCGTCGGGACATGTACAGCATCTGTCAGAGCGTAGGCCTGGGTGAGTTACCGTTCTATGTCTGATGAAACTATAAAAACTATACGTCTCTTACTATAAAACTATACTTTTTATTAGAGGAGAGATTATTTCAATTTGTGAAACTTTGATGTTTTAGCTGTAAAGGGTTACAATGACGAGATATTACTTTTCTGGTGCTGTAAGAAATTAATTAATTAATAAATTTGCTTCTGTATTGTACTTGAATGGTCCAAAGTAAATATATTGTCCTCAAAATGTATTGTTTTGTTTTAAGTAAGCGCTTAATTGAGAGCAAATATGAGAACCTAATGTTTCTCAACCATATAGGCACCAAATAATTTCTACATGGCCTTGACTAAATATGAGTGAATATTGCGTTTGGGAATGGGAACTTCCCAACAAAATAAAAAATGACTTTTACTAAATGATCTTCATGTATGTGGTTTGATCTGCAGACGGTTTGGCAAAGAAGTTCGGTCTGACCCCAGAGCAGTTTGGTGAGAATCTGCGAGACAGTTACCAGCGGCACGAGACGGAGCAGTTCCCCGCCGAGCCCGGGGAGTTGGCTAAAGACTACGTGTGCAGCCAGTTCGCCAACGCCGAGATGGTGCTGGAGGGGACGCGCTACATGGTGGCTATGCAGATTGCCCGAGAGCCACTGGTCCGACACGTGCTGCGACAGACCTTCCAGGAGCGAGCAAAGATCAACATCAAACCCACCAAGAAAGGCAAAAAGGTAACAATGCTCTATCCCTAATATCACTGTTTTCTTAATGTTAAATGTATAGGATTTTTGACGTAAGATCTAATGTTCATAATGGCCGCAGAAATGAACTACTACTACTGTTGTGCTGCCACATGTAGCTGGAGAATCCAATCCACTTTGCTTCACAGAAAAATATGTACGATTGTAATAAAGGCTGTCAAACAATTAAACATTTTTAGTTGATTAATCGCACAGAAATGGTGAGTTAACACACGATTAATCGCATTTTCAAATCCACTCCAATTGAAGTTAAATGAGATTATCAAATGTAATGACACATTGTCATTCATACCAAATGTACTTAAATCAGTTAGATTTGCTCACAACCTCTTGCATTTGGGCACAACCAAAATGAGCTATTAATGAAAGGGGGAAATTTACGTATCCCAGCTTTAATTCAGCGTTTCAGTTTAGTTTAGTTTCAGGAGGAGACACGGACACTTTAGCGGTGTATTTGCGTGCACAGGTTACGCACACAACATACAGACAATAGTTTTGTGGCGTGTATGGTCTTATATGACCATGTTACCGCGGCGCCACTCACTCACAGCCGTGTTTTTGTTAGCGGCTCACAGCCAGAGCGGCCGCGGAGGAGGCGGACTTCAGTTCACAGCAAACAGCCCCGCGGTGACGCACGTATTCTTTTAAAACATGAATTCCCAGAGGGCCTACCAGCTCTGATGACATCTCACACGCAGCATTCTGAGTGATATTATGGATAAATGGGCAGGTCATTCAGACATGCGTTAATGCGATAATTGTGACAGCCCTAATTGTAATAAAAAACAGTCAATGAAAGAAATAAAGGCAATACAATTAGAGAGATTTATTGAATATTTATTTATGAAAAGAAAAACTAAAATATATAGTCAAACAAATTGATAAAAGACAGAGGACCACTGAACTCCGGGTGTGTTTAAAGCCAGAGAATAAAAGTGAGTTTTAAGACGAGACTTTGAAGGAATACCACAACATTACTCACATCAGTCGAATCTTACCCTTCTCCTTCCCCTCTGACATACGTTTTGGCAGGAAGTAGATGAAGCCCATTTCGCTTACTCCTTCAAGTATCTGAAAAACAAACCAGTGAAAGAGCTGAACGGGGATCAGTTTCTGAAAATGTGCCTGGCAGAAGACGAGGGGCTGCTGACCATCGACATCTGCATCGACCTCATCGGAGTCAAAGGGTAAGACTGAGCAGCTTTGATATCCATTCATACACAGCTGTTACATTTTATTTCATCATGTTGTATACATTTTGACAGAAGTGGATTGAAATTATCTTAAGATTGTGTTGATTTTTCACTCGGCCAAACCTGGAGTTTACCTTCTCATAAAAGGTAAATCCTAAAGGCAAGGCAAGTTTGGCACACGGAAACTCATAGTGCTCCTCAGAGTCCCAGCAGGAGGCCAGTCCCTGTGCTCCTCAAGAGTTGAGCTGCTTTAAAGTCTATTCTCTGAGCCACAGGAAGCAGAGACCTGAGAACTGGACTGACATGATCATATTTCCTGGTTCTAGTCAGGACTCGAGCTGCAGCGTACTAGGAAAGACATGGAATGACAATTTTTTGGCTGAATTTGGATGCAGCTCTTAGTGCCATAGAGCTTCCTCATCGTTGGACATTCCCATCTCATCTCCTTAGTGAGGCGTCCTGGAGATATGGTGGCATGGCCCTCTACTCCGACCTGCAAACAGTCCAATACAACAATCGCATCACTGCACAGGTTGCTCCAACCATCCTCCAATCCATCCTTCTCTCACTCATAAATCACATTTTAAACCCTGACATTAGTGTGTGATCTGCTTCCCGCTGCGACTGGCCTAGTTTGACTCTACATGCTGTTGCAATTTGTTTGTCTATAGCTGAAAAGTTTGGTGGTGTTATTGAATCTCCAGGCTTTGATGTTAGAACAAAGAGTATTAAGTAGGATAGTCCCTCCCTGTGTGATCACTTGTTTGTTCCCGAATACATTTTGTTTAATCTTGCGCTGATGGATCTCTTGCTTGTTTGATGCAGCTTTGCCGGGGACCAGACGTACTTCGACGAGATCAAGCAGTTCTACTACAGGGACGAGTTCAGTCACCAGGTGCAGGAGTGGAACAGGCAGCGAACCATGGCCATCGAGAGGGCGCTCAACCAGTTCCTCTATCCTCAAATGTCCAAAGAGCTGAAGGCCAAACTTGTCATGGAGGCCAAGGAAAGCATCGTGAGGGTAAGAAGACCGATGGTGGATGGATTATTCAAATGTACAGTAGTGGCTGTGTTTAAACATGCTCACAGTGAAGCATGGGGGTGGAAACATGGTTTGGGGCAAAATTTCTGGAAAGGGGAAAGGCCAGCTGATCTCCCACCGTATACACACATGCATAAAATGATAAAGAGCCATAATGAATCAGCCGCAAAATTCTTTCGAACCGGACTGGACACTAATAAGACTGAATGGAGGCCTGTCACAATAATTACTACCAGTGTATCGATACAATATTATTTTAATAACTGGTGGATAAAACAATATATTTTGAGGCTCAATCTTATCGTCTATACATTTTCTTGGCCAAAGTGGAGAGATTTGAGCAACTTTCTTAATAAAACCATGATGTTTCAGCTGTAGAGTTTTGTCTAAATATCACATAATTCAGCTGTTTATCATCAGGGTGTATGGATTTTAAAGAAATGGACAATTTATTATTGTTTGTGATCATTTTCTGAAGTATATATTGGACGTCAAAATTGTTTTTTGTGACAGACCTGCTGCAGTTGAAGGAGATAAGAAAATTGTCTTTTCTATTGTCTTTGGTTTTTACTGTTGTGTTTAAAGTTTGTGAACAGGCCCCAGTCGTCGTTCAGAACTTGGAAAGGCTATGTGAAGTGTAAATTCTACTTTAAAAGCCCTGAATAAGTCTTGGCTTTAGAAATTGGCCCAAAAAAGAAATGTCTATCTATAAGAAGTTAAGAAGGCAAGTTGTATTATTGCCAAAAAAAATTGTTTCGCTAGTATCTTGGCGATCTTAAATTTCACTTTGACCAAACCTGGAGCTTCTTCTGCTGAAACTGACTTGTTACAGTTGGGTTATAACAATAATATTTACTAAACCTCATTCAAAACATTGCTTTAATCCTAATCGGTACTAATTAAGTTTCTTTTGCAGTCTTGTTGTCGACGGTTGTACAACTGGCTGAAGGTCGCCCCCTACAGGCCGGACCAGCAAATAGAGGAAGAAGACGATGACCTGATGGACGAGAGCCAGGGCAAAGGCATCCGCGTGATGGGAGTGGCCTATGCGCCCAGCAGGTATGTGATCCCTGCATTTCTCTGGGATAAATAATAATAAAGACGCTTCACGTGGGTAATAAAATACAATAAAAATAAAAAGGAGTTTACGGAAAAGCTTGCTTGAAAGGATGGTTTTTTGAGTAATGATTAAAAGTTTGGTAGTGAGTCTGAGTTTCTAATGGTCAGTGGGAGTGAGTTCCAGAGGGTTGGGGCGGCCTTGGCAAAGGGATTATGGGATTGAGGAGGTTGGAATCGGCTGAGCGAAGGCAGCGGGTGGGTTAGTGTTGTTGTAAGATCTCAGTAAGGTAGGGCGGGGCCAGGTTTTTGAGGGAAAAAATTTACTTGTCAGCAGTTTTATGGCACCATCCCTCTTTCTTGCCCTTTGACAGAGACACGCCAGTATTTTGTGCACTTATAAACGGAGAGGGAGAGGTGGCAGACTTCCTCCGGCTGCCGTATTTCATGAAGAGGAGAAACGCCTTTCGAGACGACGAGAGGGAAAAGAAGGCCGACGACATGGAAACCCTGAAGCACTTTTTATCGAGCAAGAAGCCGCACGTTGTGGCTGTGGCCGGAGAAAACAGGTACGAATTCAACGTCGAGTTTTATCATTTATGAGTCAAAGTCAAACGTTCTCTGTTTCCGTTTCCAGAGACGCTCAGATGATCATGGAGGACATCAAGAGAGTGATCGGCGAGCTGGAGCAGGAGTCCTCGCTGCCCGCCGTCGGAGTGGAGCTGGTCGATAACGAACTCGCCACGCTTTATATGAACAGCAAGAAGTCAGAAGTAAGATCGGAGAGTGAATATATTGTGATATATTACATTTGACCGAGCAAAGTTCAAGTACTTGCAGGCCATAGATTTGACACAACTTGAATTTGTAAGATTGTGGCACTACTTTTTTGCACGATCAAGATTTAAACGGCTAAAGACGGGGTTTCCAAACGTCTTCATGAATAATACAACAGAATAAGTCAAACGTAGTAAACAAATCAGAAAACAATTTGTATAATTTTTGACCTCTTTTATTTATATTGCCGTTGGTATTTAAAACTAATAGCTTCCTGTGCTTATGTGAGTTTTATGAGAACGCCAGTTGTAGCCATCACAATAAATATTCCTCTAAAACCCCTACTGATAATTGCATCATGTCCTTAATTTTATGGGACTTTGAAAGCTACTTTTCCCCAGTGTAAGATTTAAACTCTACTACGATTTGAATCACCAACATTTTAGTTTTTCTCTAGATATCAGAACTATCTTCTCCTTTTTCCTGTTTGGGTTTTGATACATTTTGGTGCTTGAATAGAAAATGGGAGTTTGTACAGTCAATTTGGAAATGTTTTGGAAAATGATATGAATTTATGTTATGAAAGTCTATGTATACAAAAATATATCTTGTCTGGGTGTTGCAGGGAAAGTAGTTCTTAGTTCTTAGATTTGGCCGGACCAAACCTGGAGCTTCCCTGATTAATATAATTTAAAATGAATTTGAGTGCGCCTGACTGGGTGTTTTTCCCCCATCACAGACAGACTTCAGAGATTATCCTCCGCTGCTGCGTCAGGCCGTGTCTATTGCCCGAAAGATCCAAGACCCTCTGGTGGAGTACGCCCAAGTCTGCAGCAGCGACGAAGACATCCTCTGCCTCAAACTGCACCCGCACCAGGCGAGTTGGACAAACCCATGTTTGTTCGGCCTAGATTGTTCCTTCTCAATCTTCTTTATTTTAGCTGTTGATTGGCTTGTATTATGACGGATGAAAAGTATTTACACGAGGGCATTGCCAGAAATTGAAAAAATTGCACTCCCAACTTATTTTTTTTTATTTTCTCGGTTATTGTTGTTACAATAATTTATCTTATACTCAATGTTTTTTTTTTAGGAAAATCTGTGCCAAGCATTAACCTCCTACCACAATGGTTTGAATATGCATCAGTTACTGTCGTCTTTGCCTCACATCACATTTAAATAAACAAAAAAAAACATCTCAAATTTAGATAAATCATTTAGATCTCCCAGCCCTGATAAACTTGTTGTTTATTATGTATTACTGTTTATAATGGTACTGGCACTGCTCTTGAACAGTTTAGTTTTGACTCCTAAAAACTGGGAGGAACAAAAGTGCAGTTAATTGAACACTACTTAAGGAGATCAGGGTACCTCAGCTTCTTAAGTTAATTAATAAAATATACAAGTCTGGGTCTCACAGTTTACTCTCTACCAGAAGGAAGAAATATACATATGCTTATTTACAACCGCGACTTGCTAAAGTTTGACACATGTTGATCCCAGTCTCATTATTCTTCAATTCCTACCTGGACAAAACAAACGGATAATGTTTCCGTGTGTCGTTTCACAGGAGCACGTGGTGAAGGAGGATCTGCTCAACGCCCTCTACTGCGAGTTCATAAACCGAGCCAACGAGGTGGGAGTGGACGTGAACAAAGCCATTGCTCACCCTCACACCCAGAGCCTGGTGCAGTACGTGTGCGGGCTGGGACCCAGGAAGGGCTCCCATCTGCTCAAGGTAAAGAGAGTCCTAAGTATTAATACAGGGAGGCTCCATTCATTCTAGCTATATCTACTTGAAGCCTGGAACTCTCTTTTTTATGCCAAAGTTAGAGATTTAATTTCATTTTATACTAGCTTCTTTATTATGCAGAAGTTGGAGATTTTATTATAAAGTTATTGTTCATTTATCTTGTGTTGTGTGCTCTTCATTCCTACTGTTCTGTAACCGGTGATGCAACACTAAAATATCATCACTGTGGGACTAATAAAGGATCTTAATCTAAAACTGAAATCTTCCTCATTGGGGCATTTCTATCACTTAGTTTTTGGCACTTTTATTATCAAGCTGCATTTCAGCCATTTGGTAAAGGCCTATAATAATTTTTTTTAAAACTAGTTAACAATTGGACTGGTGCTCATTGGGTGGCAGCTCTCATTGCTACCCCCCCGACCCATAAATGGACTAATAAAGGGGTTGAAAATGAATGAATATATAGTTAACAAATTATGAGTGTTATGAGTGCTCCTACATCATTAAAGGGTTTAGCTTCTTTACACTCTCTCTCATTAGAAGAACCTTATGAGGTTATTTTCTCTTCTCTTTATATTTACTCTTTCATTGATGACCCATGTTATTCACTGACTCCCGTGGCTTTTGTTTTTATTCTTAGATTTTGAAACAGAACAATACTCGCCTCGAAAACCGGACTCAGCTTGTTACAATGTGTCACATGGGTCCAAAAGTGTTCATCAACTGTGCGGGGTTCATCAAGATCGACACGGCCTCGTTGGGAGACAGGTAAGCTCAGCTGAAGTCTCCCCCCTCCAACTCCTCTCTTCTCCTCCCTTTCTCTTCCCTGCTTCCTCTTTAACTCCCTCCCTCCCTTTCTAACTCCCCCGTCCCTCTTTTTTCTCCCGTCTCCCTCTCCAACTCCCTCCCCCCTTCCCTCTCTCTTCCCCCTTTCCTCTCTAACCCCCCCTCCTCTAACTCCCCCCCCCCTCTCCAACTCCCCTCTCTACCTCCCTCTTTTCTTCCCTCTCCCTGCCTAACTCCCCCCTCCTCTCCAACTCCCCTCTCCCTCCCTATCTTCTAACTCTTCTCCAACTTGTCTGCCTCTCTTTCTCACCCTTCCCTCTCAAACCCCCCCCATCAAACTGACCCACTCTCGTTGTCATTGCAGCACGGACTCGTACATAGAGGTGCTGGATGGGTCCCGTGTGCATCCGGAGACGTACGAATGGGCTCGAAAGATGGCGGTGGATGCCCTGGAGTATGACGAGTCTGCTGAAGACGCCAACCCGGCCGGAGCCCTGGAGGAAATCCTGGAAAACCCGGAGCGTCTCAAAGATCTGGATCTGGATGCATTCGCAGAGGAACTCGAGAGACAGGTTGGTCTTGGTCACACAGAAACTCATTCAACACAGAACTATTTTATATGGTATATATATTTTATTATGTTCAAGTTTGCAGTCCCAGCTGTTATTGTTATTGTTTAATTTTTACTAACAGGTTTTTAATGAATGTTCTGTTCCAAATCCTGCGTGTGTTCAGGGCTATGGAAACAAGGGAATCACGCTGTACGACATCCGCGCCGAGTTGAGCTGTCGGTATAAAGACCTGCGAGTCCCGTACAGGGTCCCGAACACAGAGGAGGTCTTCAACCAGCTCACCAAGGAGACTCCAGAGAGCTTCTACATCGGTCAGTGTGCGCAGATAGAGAGACCAGATAGAGAGAAAGACCAGAGACAGAGAGAGGATGTGACTATTTATATCCTTTTATTGTATACATTGCCTATAATTTAATTTTTGCACAACAATCGAAATACTACTACTACATTAACTCTTGTTTTCTGTGTCTGTTCAGGTAAACTCATCACAAGTATAGTGACCGGTATCGCTCACAGACGGCCTCAGGGAGAGAGCTACGATCAGGCCATCCGCAACGACGCCACCAGTCTGTGGCAGTGTCCCTTTTGTCAACAGGACAACTTCCCCGAGCTCAGCGAGGTACAACACTGGACATAACCTCCTCTATTTCAGAACAAGGAAATACCATTCGTCATTCTCTACTCTCTTACCCATGTCTTTTTGTTAGCAAATATTTGAAAAATCCCAATCTCTATTTTTTTTTTTTTTTTTTTAATGATTGACAGTTTGACACATGAATAAAATGTAAAAATACTCAAATAATGTGGTAGTTACTCAGAGACATCCTTGTCTGTCACTGTGATTGGCTGAACAAGTATGCAAAGTTAGTTAAGTATTTGATAAAGATTTAGGAAGAGAAATTGCAATACAATTTGTGGTCCAGATTTTCCAGCTCCACAATCGCCACTACTGTCCTGGGTCCACCACATCTGGCTCACCACCAATTACACACACACACACAAGCGCTTTCGCACACATACATCTCTCTTTGCTTGTAATAAGTCTCTCATTTATAACAAGCTTCAACAATATTCTAGTTTTCACCTGTATTGGTGAATGGATGGACAAGCTCTTTCTTAGATCCTTAGACAAGCAGATATGGTCTTTTGACTTTCATTCATTCTGTAAATCTCGGTACTCACTTGGGAGTTTCTTTATGTCATCATAAACTAACGCCCTGCTCAGGGACAGAGATTTTACCCTTGTCTTCACCGACAAACATGTTAAATCTTTGTCTGTTTCAATGCCCTTCTTTTCACAAACTGCTGTAAACATTCTGTCATTGACCTTGTGTTCAGGTTTGGAACCACTTTGACAGCGGCTCGTGTCCGGGCCAGGCCATAGGAGTGCGATCGCGGCTCGATAACGGCGTCCAGGGATTTATACCCACTAAATTCCTCAGCGACAAAGTGGTGAAGCATCCGGAGGAGAGAGTCAAGGTTGGTAAACAGCGGGATCCATTATTGAGATTAGCTTCAATGTCTTTCACCGCTTCGTCCTATTGTTCAATTAAATGTATTCTTGTGTAGCCCTAAATCCTGTGTTACACTATACATACATACCAGTAGATGGAGATATATTGATATACTTATAATGAAGCATTTACAGCTAGCTCAGAAACATAGCAGCTACTCATTTTGTATGTAACATTGAAATTTCCCCACTCTGGGACAAATAAAGGATCTTTTATCTTAAGCTATAAATGTCGTTGAAAGTCGAGTGTCCTGAGTCATCGCCTCTGTTCTTTTTAGTCTGTGTCACACGTAATGGAAAGACACTGTTGTTATTGTGTAGGTCGGGATGACGGTCCACTGCCGCATCATGAAAATTGACATTGAGAAGTTCAGCGTCGACCTCACGTGCCGCACGTCGGACCTGATGGATCGAGCGAACGAGTGGAAGCTTCCCAAAGACACGTACTACGACTTTGACACCGAGACCGAGGACCTGAAACAAGAGGAGGAGCTGAAGAAGAAGCAGCAGAGAACACGTGAGTCTCGTCCGCACTTGGGGAGGGACCAGCAGTAAAGAATTTTTAATTGCAGCACACTATTTGGCATTCAGGGGTTAAAACACTTTCACAAACTAGTGAAAGGAATCATCTTTAAGCAGCTTTGGCAATGAGGGGTATCTCAGCCTGTCTAAACTATCCAAGTCAATACTGTATGATCTATCAGAAGAAGGAAACTCAGGATGAAACATAACTTCTTCAGTTCAGTCTCACAAAAAATAGAGATTCAACTGTGGAGAAGCCTCCTGAAAAACTAAGGAATGTCATTATGTTTTTGTCATTCCTACATAAACTATTCCTTGGTGCAGGCAAACAAGTGAAAAGGTCAATTGACAATGCTGTCAGAGAAAAATACTTATTGCTAAAATAGTAATTGAAAACAGTGGGCAAAGAATAATATATATATATATTACCCAAACCTTTATGAAGCCACTCTGATTGACCTCCTTTTATATTCTTTGATATCAAGTGTTTAAGACCAATGTTGCAATATATTTCTATTGTTTGGTCAACATTTCATACTTACAAAAACATAACACAATAGTCCTGGACCTCAAGGCACCAACCTCCACAGAGCTGCAACATATTTCTAAAGTCACATGACCTTCTCCTCAGCGTACATCAAGCGTGTGATCGCCCACCCCAACTTCCACAACATCAGCTTCAGTCAGGCCGAGAAGATGATGGAGGCTCTGGACCAGGGAGACCTGATCATCCGGCCCAGCAGCAAAGGAGAGAACCACCTCACCGTCACGTGGAAGGTACCAGGGGCTCGTCACGCCTTCACAGCAAACACCAAAGTAAAACCGGTGTTAAATGTGAACGTGGCGTGTTGCAGGTGGCGGAGAACATCTACCAACACGTGGACGTGAGGGAGGAGGGCAAAGAGAACGCCTTCAGTCTGGGACACACACTCTGGATCAACACAGAGGTCTGGGATCGCATGGGTTTCTCTCTTTAAACAGCGAGAGAGTGTTGTGTGGGTGTGTTGTGTGTGGTTGTGGTCTGGTGTTGTGGTGTGTTTGGTTGTGGTCTGGTGTTGTGCGTGATTGTGTTGTTGGTTTTTGTCGTGTGTGGTTATAGTGTGTTGTGTGTGTTATGTTGTGTACTGACTGTCACCTCTGTGTCGTTTACAGGAGTTTGAAGACCTGGATGAAATCACGGCTCGCTACATTCAGCCGATGGCGGCGTTCGCTCGGGACCTTCTGGGCCATAAATACTTCCAGGACTGTAACGGCGGCAGTAAAGAGGTTCGTCAGGGTCAGGGAGAGATCTTTGCCCGGGCCTGACGAGTCTTGGATTCTATCTGGAAGAAAAATTGTTGAAACGCACCAGAATTAATGATAAATTAACATTTGGCCAATTATTTTAAATAGTATTTGTAAAAAAACAGAGAATCATCCTCTTTTCCTTTCCTTTGTTTATATGAGCTCTAAATGCTGTGCCAGACTTAAGAAAGGTGTACTACATGTAGACAGCTCCAACCATAAGTCCAAATAGATTCATAATAGTTTCTCCTTTGCTGTCTGAGTGTGTAAAAATGACTACTAATGTGCCGGATTTCCTCAGCCCCATAATACTAGGCAAGCACTTGATATACACTTGATCAGTTAGTTTAGTCTTTAGTTGAAGGGACAATGTACAGATATGTTCATTACCAGATTATAGCTAAACGGTTACTGAAATAAGATAACTGAATCTAACTGAAAGGATAAATATAGCTTTCAGTTAGATCGGGGAGCTCAACCTAAGTGTGTGATTTTGTGTGGTTTTCTGCTCTGCTATGAGATCATTCTTAACTTTTTTCATATTCCCAGAAAATGGAGGAAATCTTGGTCAAGTCGAAGCGAGAAAAACCCACTTTCATTCCTTACTATGTCTCGGCTTGTAAAGAGTTACCCGGGAAGTTTTTATTGGGATACCAGCCTCGAGGAAAACCAAGGTAGGCAGATGCCAGGGTTAAAGTTAAAGTTAACTGAAATATTACCGCTAGTTTTGCGTCCAAATGTAGTCCGTGGCGGTCCCACACCCGCAGGTCCCTCCCATAGACTAAGTCCCTCCAGACTGAGGATACAATGTAAGCTAGCCATGTTCACCCGGGCTTGATTTCTTCTTTGATCATTTTTTTGCTGTAGTTCCCTCTTCTCTTCCTCACTGAAGCATCGTTTTGGGCTGTTTTTGTTGTGTATGCAGTTACAGCCTGCTAACATGCTACTGTGTTTAGCAGCGCTGTAGAGGATGTAGCCTGTTCTATGATTGGAGGAGAGCGGGCGTCACGCTAAGTCTCTACTCAGCACTTTTTACGGCCCGAATCCATGCATAAGCTGAATCAATGAGCTAAAGTTTTCAATTAACTTACAAATTATAATACAATATGAATGTATTTTTATGAACTCACTAGAAAAAGAAAACAGTATTATATTGCCCAGCTTTAGTTTACAGTCCGTTAAAATCAATCCCACATGGACAACCTCTAACAGCCGTAACCTTACCAAACACATACAAACATACACACACTCATTGTCTTATTTTGGCCAAAATGCCTACAATGCCACCAAACGTTTATGTGCTAGTCAAAATGTACAACTTTTTCCCACAAACAATGGAGGAATACATTACAACGTATTAAAAGTTTGTCTCCTTATAAATGTCTTTTGAGTTTTTGCTCCCTGCACCACAGAGATCTGCTTGTGCAATAATAACAACTATTTTTAATCATAATTGGAGAGAGCAGTGTTTCAGTGAGTGGATTGTCACGCACTGGCCAACACAACCACCCCCACACAGTCACGATATGGAGGCCAATTACCTGTTCTGTCTGTGTCGTCTCATTATTAAACTAATAAAGGGTTTACAATCATACAGTAAACAACTACAAACTGCTACTTTGCTAAGATTAGGCCCAAAATGAGTAGTTTACAGAAGGAATGTCAAACTCAGGCCCAAACTTGACACCATTGTTATTGGCTCCTGAATGTTTTGCGATGACTGCATGGGCAATAAATCAAATAACTCAATGAAATGTCACTTCTGACAATGGATCTTGTAGAAAATGTCAAAATTGTGAATTGGAGGTTAGCAAAATGTGCCAGCTTCTTCTCAAGGCTGCTGTAGTTTAGCAAATGTCAGTGCAAATCTCAACTTGAATATTGAAGGTCTGTCATGAGTTTTAAAAATTATAAATCGTGCAAAAGGTGGAATAAAATGTAGTTTTAACTTTTTTGCTATATCGCCCAGGTTATAGGCATGTTATACCTAATGTTAAAGCCAATCTACTCAAATAATAATAATGTATCAGTTTTATATAGCTATTTTTTGGACACTCAAAGACGCTTTAAATGTTATTAATCATTCACTCCATACACGGTGGTGATAAACTACAACTGTAGACAGAAGCAAGGCAAGCAGTATGTGCCACCAGCCCTTCTGACCAGCACCAACACACCAAACTCATTCTGGGAAATGGGGGTGAAGTGTCTCAAACCCACAACCTTCTGGCTCAAAGGCCAATGCTCTATCTACTGAGCTACTGTCGCCTCAAAAAGATCATCGCCTACTTGTATTCTACCAATCATTGGCCTATTACACCTCTTATATACACTGTATATTTCGTCCATTTCTGGTTCAATTCAAACATTTTGTTCAAAACAAATCTATCAGATTTGTTTTGTTCTATCAGATTTGTCCATACATTTTCAACTGCTTCTGAGCTGTGTGAGCAAGGATGCACAGATTTTCCAATCCACACACAGAGTCCCTCCAACGTGTCTTGGGTCTTCTCCATGGCTCTCTACTCCAAGCTCCTCATGTTCAATAAAAGTAATAAAATTAGAATTGAACCAAATTGAATTCAAAAGAAAACCACACGTTTGGGTTTGGCGATAAGTATCCAAAACAGAAGTCCAAATCGGGCGGTTTATTGCAAATCATTCCATTCATTCAGTTCCAGGGAGAAGTCGAGGAATGGCCGCCGCTAGTCTTGGCTCAGGAGCCAGGAACACAGGAGAATGAGGTAAGTGAGGGTATTCACAAACACTGTGGATTAGACATAACAATCGGGAGTCTGTCTGAAAAGCTGGCTAGATGAAGGTTTGCTTGATTGGAGAAGTGAGAGGTGAGAGCAGGTGAGCAGCTCCAGACTCCATCCATGTCCACCCATGTCTTTTTTCTCCCCCTCCCCAACTAAAATGAATATGACACCCCTGGTTTATGACAAAATAGGTTTGTGTCCTTAAATGGCTGTGCGGCAAGTCTCCGTTCTGTAGCTATCATTTGCCCATACTTAACTAATTGTCAATAGTTTTACACCAGCACTTAAACAAAAGAGAATGCACATAATTCAGGCGGCAGACAGTGGCCAAGTCTCATAAATATAGGTGACTTTGTGATTGGGCCTGCCTGCGCCGCCAGAGCTCCGAGTGCATTTAGAAGTGAATGAGGTTGTAAATAAGGACGTGGAAACAGGCACCAGCAAGATTAAACTTGTCTTTTAGGTTCTTAAACAGGCCGAGTATTACGAGATCGCGCCAGCCACAAAGCCGGTGAAATATGGATGTTTGGTTGTGAGGGATTATGAACGAGCAATAAACTGCTGCCTTGGAATTTGGGAATTTGAGCAAAAAAGATGGTGTTTTGGTGCCTTAGTGGTTTGTGAAGGTCTGAGCTCAGTTAGTGTCCTTTTCCTGCTTGGGCTAAAGTCATAGAGCAGGGGTCGGCAACTCAAAAGGTTCAAAGAGCCATATTTGACAAAAAACACTAAAAACAACATCTGTCTGGAGCCGCAAAAAAATAACAGCCTTACATGAGGCTTTCATGAAGGTAACACAGGCTGCAAGCTGTGTTAGCTATATCAGCCTAATATCTAAATGACAAAGTAAAGGCTACAAATACATAATAAGCATCCACGATTATCAAATGTGTATTTTCACTGCAGCGTGTCCTGGAGACGACTCTGCTTTAACTTTAATTTCCATTCTTTTGACTTCATGCAATTGTAGAAATACAGTAAATAAATCTGCTTTTTGGCTCAAAGTTCACATACCTGCATCACAGCACTGTCTGTTCAAATCAATCACATTACAGGCTTTGCAGAGGTTTTTGAAGGTTTGAGGTTTTTGAAGAACTGTTGAAACATTGAAACTCCTGAAATCCTTGAAACTTTTTTTAAACCTGGAAACTGTTGAAAGTGTGGAAACTCCTGAAATCCTTGAACCTCCTGATATCCTTGAAACTGGTTAAATTCTTAAACAGCTGAAATCCTTGAAACTACTGAATGTATTGAAAGTGTCCTTGAAACTGAAAAATCCCCTCACCGCTGAAACAATTTGGTTCCTGTAACTAAGGAAACCTGGTCTGTGGTCATTATCTGGTGGTGGTCTGAGTCTTCGTTTGGGTCTTGGTCTGGTGGTATAATGCAACCTATTAGGTTGCATTATACTGGTTTACATGAAAATGAAAAATGAAAAAACCCTATTAGGTTGCATTATATGGTTTACATGGAAAAATCCCTATTAAGTTGCATTATACTGGTTTACATGGAAAAAATCCCTATTAAGTTGCATTATATGGTTTACATGGAAAAAACCCTATTAAGTTGCATTATATACTGGTTTACATGGAAAAATCCCTATTAAGTTGCATTAAAATGTTTACATGAAAATCCCTATTAAGTTGCATTATACTGGTTTACATGGTAAAAAAAACCCCTATTAAGGTTGCATTATACTGGTTTACATGGAAAAATCCCCTATTAAGTTGCATTATACTGGTTTACATGTACATGGAAAAATCCCCTATTAAGTTGCATTATACTGGTTTACATGAAAAAAACCCTATTAAGTTGCATTATACTGGTTTACATGTACAAAAAACCCTATTAAGTTGCATTATACTGGTTTACATGGTTTAATGGAAAAAACCCCTATTAAGTTGCATTATACTGGTTTACATGGAAAAATCCCCATTAAGTTGCATTATACTGGTTTACATGAAAAAAAACCCTATTAAGTTGCATTATACTGGTTTACATGAAAAAACCCTATTAAGTTGCATTATACTGGTTTACATGGAAAAATCCCTATTAAGTTGCATAATACTGGTTTACATGGAAAAATCCCCATTAAGTTGCATTATACTGGTTTACATGTAAAAAACCCTATTAAGTTGCATTATACTGGTTTACATGGAAAAATCCCTATTAAGTTGCATTGTACTGGTTTACATGGAAAAAACCCTATTAAGTTGCATTATACTGGTTTACATGGAAAAAACCCTATTAAGTTGCATTATACTGGTTTACATGGAAAAAACCCTATTAAGTTGCATTATACTGGTTTACATGTAAAAACCCCTATTAAGTTGCATTATACTGGTTTACATGGAAAAATCCCCATTAAGTTGCATTATACTGGTTTACATGAAAAAAAACCCTATTAAGTTGCATTATACTGGTTTACATGAAAAAACCCTATTAAGTTGCATTATACTGGTTTACATGGAAAAATCCCTATTAAGTTGCATTATACTGGTTTACATGGAAAAATCCCTATTAGGTTGCATGATTACACTGAAGTCCTTGAAACTGCTGAAGTCCTTGAAACTGTTGAAGTCCTTGAAACTGTTGAAGTCCTTGAAACTCTTGAAATCTTGAAACTGCTGAAATCCTTGAAACTGTTGAATCCTTGAAACTGTTGAATCATTGAAACTGTAGAAATGTCTGAAAGAGCTGAAGTCCTATTAAAATGCATGGGCCTATTAAAATGCATTGCAGAATTCTCAATGCAGATTTTTGTCCGATTGCGGAAAAACCGGAAATCGCTGAAGTCCCAAAAGTAATAGCAATAATCTCCCAAACATGTGGAACGTTTTGATGTATAACTTGTGGAAATTGTTGAAAATGTGAAAGCTGTGAAACGTGTCAAAAAAAATGACGGAATAAAGAAATACA